AGTCAACACATCTTTATATGCATGCAATCACAAAGAAATTAAATGAAGTGTGGAGTCTCAATGTATTGTTTACAATAATGACTTCTTTTCAAGAGACTGAGAGATGAAGAACAACATTTTTGTTTTCGTGAAATTTTGCTTTGATCTAAGTCAAGCACAGGCAGAAAAAAAAGCTTTGCATTGCCCATACTAGTGTACAGTAGCTACTGACCACGGTGTGGCTCCTAGCAACAGAGGAATTTCAGTGTGCGTCGTGCTGAGCAATGCCAGCTGTTTAATTATCTGACCATCAAATTCCACCGCATTGCAGTTAAACCAACAAGGCATGGATAAAGTGCAATTTGAGGCCACACACATTGTTATGATAACATCATTACAAGCTTATTATGTGTACTTTAACAGGTGATACAAATCAGATAGTTAAGAGTTTAAAACTATCTGCAGGATTTATTAGTAATTTAGACTAAATGTATTTTGTTCTGTAATTTGTTTTAAAAGTGTGAACCTGCCTGGGTGCAACGGAAGGAAACAAACAAAAGCTAACGCGGCTTAAAGGCATCTGCTTTTTTACGATTAATGTATTTTGTACACTGTTCCTGTTAAATAAACTAACCTAAATTAAAGTATCAAACATGCACTCAAATGTATAAGTAACATTTGCTTAGTTACTGTTTAACACAAGTAGTGAGCATCCCTTTGAAATAGTAGCAACTCAAGCTTGTAGATAGTAAAGTAGTAAAGACCACTAGCAGAAATTTAAATTGAGTCTTAAAGAGATGGAAAAAGGTGATTTTAACAAAGAAACAGGTGTTGTTGTTGATAACAGAGGGGCTGGACTAAGTATTTCCAAATATTTCAGATATGTAACCATGCACTAGGTTTACAGAGAATACTTTCAATGAGAGGAAAGATCTAGTGAGCAACCTTTGTTGCATGAAGAATGCACTGTTGCTTTCAAAGGAGAAATGGAAAACTAATGGCAAATGAGAAAAAGGCACCAGTAGCTCACCTAACCACTCCTTGCAACTAATTTAAAGGGATTCTAGCTCTGAAGTCAAACTGATGGGCTCGACCTGTAGAAGAAAATATAGATCCCTCTGCAAATTTGTAAGAATAGGAGAATGAGATAATAGTTTGTTTACCTAAATTGGAGAAATGTCACCTGGTCCAACGACTCTTATAGTCAGTGGCCTTATTAAGGCTATAGGATGTAAACAGCATGAATCAAAACCATGTATCCCTCCTGCCTTGTTCGAATGCTTTGGAATTGTAATGGTGGTGTAACGTTTGGGGAATATTTTCTGTTGCTATTCTTTGAGCCGGTTAGCACCTATATGGCTTCATTTAAATACCACAGCCTAAATGGATGTCATTGCTATCCATGCCCAGCTCTTTAGGACAACAAAGTAACTATCTTCTGATGGCTTTAAACAGAAAACTCTGGCAAAAAGTTTAATGTGTTAAAGAATTGAATGGTTTTTAATATTAGTCACCAATTGCTAAGGAGCAAAACCTTCACTCATATCTGAATCATGAAGACTTCATAGTGTGCACACAGCTGCAACCTGTTTGGAATGCAAAAGGACTTAACTTAGAGTCATGTACACCCACTCATTCATGCATATGGATTTATTTATAACACATTATGTTCTTTATCAAGGTTTGTTTCATGTTTTAGTATGAAACTGACTAAATTTTAGATAAGGCCTTTGATTTATAGCTTGTAAAATACTAGAAAAATAGACATATTTAAAAACACCTGCAACCTAGATGTTGTTCAATTCCCACAGTCCTGTATACCATTTTATAGAAGTGTAACAGACTGTTCTGTGTCTGTATGTTAAAGTGGTGTCCATCCCTGTTGCCGGGGTGCGAAAGTTCGCCGGGTGTACGGCAGGGGGAGCTTGTGAGTTTGTGGTTATGTGTTGAGAGAAGAAGAAGAAATAAAACCGGAAGTGGGGTTACCGCCGAAAACTCCGACCCGTCTCTTGTCCCGTTATTGCCTATAAAGTACGTAACACGAACCCAAAACGCTCGGTTACATTGGTGGCAGCGGTGGGATTCCTCTACTAAACCCCCGTTGTTTTTCTAAGTTTTTTTCGTAGCGTATTTAGCCCGTGACGGCTAATTGTCAGTCGGTTAGCATAGCATCTCCGATATAGCCGGCTAGCTAACCTTGTGCGGTGCGGTAGAAAACAGCACTTAAAGGACATGTGGTCGGCAGATGAGGACCCTTTTAAACCCAGCCCGAGCAGGCTTGGCAGATACTCACCGGGCAGTGATGTTAAGATTGACCTCNGATATCAAAAAAGTACTCCAGAGTGTTGTTCAGCATGGGGGTGAGTAGAAAATGAAGGCTAATCATGTTGTGGGTGTACTATTCCTTTAAGTCTAGTCTAAGTCTAAAACTATTATCTTTCTTTTGAAAATTCTTTCCGGTGGTCCGAGATCAGCTGGTTAAAAAAAAGAGAAAAAGTGAATTTTGATGACCCCCAGAATAAATGTTTTACATCATAAAATGTCATCGGTTCTAATGTTCCTCTTAAAATTTTAAATTCTTTTGAACTTTGAAATTGAACTCATCCAACATTCCTTTTGTTTCCAATCATTGACTGTTTGGCAGTGATATGCATCAAATGTTGTTTTGTTGCAGCTGACAAAAAGCCATGAAAAAACATAAATCACCTGTACACCCATCTGAAGAGCATTAGTGAGCTTTCAGTTTGACAAAGAGCCTCACAGGCCAAACTCTTCACGAGGAGATAGGAACTCTAAGCCCATCATATTTGTTCATTATGAAGCCAATCCTTTGTTGTTTTGTTATATAAATATAACCTTTTTAATAAAGAATATCTGCTCAATTAAAAATGTTTCCTTAAATTAAAAGACAATAACTATAAATTGTTATAAGAAATTTACAGAGAATATTTGCCAATTTTGGACTTCTTTGTTATTTACTCTCTATGTTAAATTCTCATTTATCATAAGTGTGTATCTCACCTTTACCTGAACTCCTGATTCAAAATGCATCATTATGCTGATGTGACAAATACAACTTGTGCGAGCCTTCATTAGATGGATTCATCCATTGCTTTTTAAGGTGAATGCGTCAGTTTTTGGTGTTGCATTAACTAGGGTAAAATACTGGTACAACAATACTACAACAGGTTTGCATAATTATTTTTAAATTTTTTTTCAGCAAGCAGGCTATTGCTTTCATTTTGTTAAGTAGTCTTGATCAACATCTTTTAAGAGATTTTATGTCTTCTATGAGACATTTCCTTATATTTTCAAAGGTCTTTTATAGAGAATATTTCATCTAATTTGTATTGTTTAGCACAACCTGGGCAAAAAATTGGTCCACATGTGGGCTCCATTAATTTTACATCTATACTGCACTGTAAAACTAGCTAAGATTTGGGGGTGCTACTATAACATGTTTGGCCATGTAAAGTTTGTGCTGATAGACAGCTAGGTATTTCCCTGTAAACATGTAATCATAGCCCTGTTTTGGTTCTGTATGGCTGTGGAGGGAAAAGAAAAGTGTTTTTATGATCTTCCATCCATCCATCCATCCATCCATCCATCCATCCATCCATCCATCCATCCATCCATCCATCCATCCATCCATCCATCCATCCATCCATCCNGCTGAAGGCTGGGCAGATTAGGCAGTTCATTTATTACCCTAGATAGTGGTATTACTGTTGATCCTGGGAAAAAGGGACAGGACTATGAGCTAGGAACAGGAGGTAGGAGGTTTCAGATGGAGGGTAAATGATTTAAAAATATTAAAAGGAAAACTTACTTTCTCTTTGTCCTATGGATAGCATTCTGTTTGTTTTTGCAAACAGTTCTGGTCACATACATTAATTTTTAGTCTGGTCAAGAAGCCCTTTCATTATGCTGAGCTAGTTTGCAGCTTTTCTTAACTTGCTGTAGTTTTGCAACTAAATTTTGTCTATTTATATGCATCATTTATGTATTTGCAACAGCTTTTCTCTTTGCAGGGGGTTTCCACTCTGCTTCTCTATATATTCTGTGATTGCAACTTCTCTTGTTTGCAGTATTTTCGCTTTGTATATGTCTTCTTGCGTTTTGCAGGACTTTTTGAATTTTTAAAATAGCTTTTTGCAAGGCCACCTCTTGGCCACTGTAGAGGCAGCCTAATCTATACTCCAAGCAAGTTTTACAGTATTTGCTCAGCCACATCTTTATTTTAGCCTTTCTGTGACACATACTTTTTATATCTTTCTAAGTCCAACAATTGGTACACCCAAAGATATCTTAGATTAGGAAAAGATGTCGGGGCTGCTCTTCGGCTCTCCACAACCACTATTGAGCATTTCTTTCTTTGGATAAACTTTACATGAAGAAGTCACTCTCACAAACAACTACAGGTGCTTGGCTCCAGGTACTCAGAGATTCACTTCCATAAAGAAACCCCACATTCTTATCTTCAGGTAACAAAGAGTACATGTCAGATTAAATAATACTACTTCAGCGATAGTTTTAAGGTGTTGCTTTGTTGTATGACTGGTACCATGTCTGTTGGTTGAGCTGATCTTTTTACATCTCTTTGCAGGTGATGAAGCAGACTGAAAATGTTTCATCATTATCTCCCTTTTATCTCCTCTTTCTTTCATCTTTTCTCCTTTTTTTCTGTTTTTCCTCCTCTATTCTACTTACATTGCAGTGTCCATATAAACTGTAAAACTCCCTGCATAATTATAATAAGCAATTTATATGCATGAAACAAGTGGAGCAATATGGCAATTACCATACTGCTCCTCTTATGAAAGTAAAATCTGTTGGGCTCTTTTTGGCATCAAGACAATTATTCTTATTGCCACATTGCCAGACAGGACACTGTTAAAAAGAAAGAAAAAAAAAATATGTTTTTCACTTGAGCTTAAAATACTGAATGTCTCCCCATCTTTCTCTGAGTTTAGAACACAAGCTTTGAAACTGGTTCTCAGCTAAGTAAACNCGTACTTGGAGGATGAGTCCTAGGTTTTCAAACAGAGCCCAAGTCTACTTAGAGAGAAAGTCATTATACTTTGCATTGATGATTAGAACTTGGATAAAGACTTCATCAACTTTGTCCAACTCTTTCTTGACCTAGGAAAATTCCACATCCACAAGAGGAAATGGCAAAAAAAAAAAAAAAAAATCCCTCACTTCAGCAAAGAACTTGAATTCTACACAACCACAAAACCCAAATGCAATAAAATTATTTGTGTTCTTGACAAACTTTTCTATGTAAGACATGTTATTTTACTTTTTATTTTATATCTATATTTATTCATTGTTTTATTCACTAATCCCCTGGAGAGACATTTTTGTTGTGACTGTTGATGGAATAAAAAATAAAAACAACCATGAAGTGGGAGGAGCGCGCGCGCACACACACAGAGGCGCGCACAGGCCGCCAGGGCCGCAGATGAAGCATGACGGAGCAGAGCGAGACAAAGCAAGGTGACCCGGTCCAGCGTGTCATGCTCCGTCAGCCCTTCCTGATCGGCGTGGCGGGCGGCACAGCCAGCGGCAAGGTTGGCCTCCATCACTGCAGAGCACCTGTTCATTGATTAGGACAGGAGGGGAGCTTTTTCTTTGTTTCATTCTATTCATCATTTGGGAATCTTTGCTTCATCAGAGCAGATTTGGTTGCTTATTTAAAAGGTTAATTTGCAGAATGTCTAATTTAAAAAACAAGGTGATATGAGAATCAGTGAGATTTCAGTTTATCAACAGCAGCTGTGCAAAGGCTGCAGAATGAGTCAAATCAGAATAAACTAAAACACATTTATGAAACTCTAGGGAGGAAAGTAGGCCTACTTTATTTTAAGTTAAGACATTTAACACTGTGTTTATTATGTATTATGTATCTTGTTTTATATTAATTTAGCTCATTTTACTTGCACTAAAGAGAGCTGCATTGTGCAGAAATTTAAACTCTTCCAATTTATTTGTCCTTTAGAAAAAAAAGATGATTTGCAGGTTGAGAAACTGTCGTTTGCTGTTATTAAAGTAGAGGAGAAACTGAATTAAAAGCTGATTAAGTTGGCAGAGCTTTCAGCATTCAGAGCATTCAGTCGTTGGTGGCTTCTGCTTCCTGATGTGTGAGAGCAACCGTTCACTGGAACACCTGTTTTCACAGCCATGGTGTCTGAATGGGGGTTAAAATTGTCTTTATTCTATGAACACATCTATGAGCTGCAAGGACAACTAACTAAACCAAAACAACAAAAAAGATGCATTCCATTCACTGGAATAAATTGAAGTCTAGATACGTACTTTTTTCTTAAAACAAGTGCATTTTTTCTTGGATTGAGGAGGTAAAAGAGACATCTTACTAATAGAGCAAAGCAATTTACACTTACAATAAGAAAAAAACAATTGCATTGTCTTATTTCAAGTGTATATTATCTAATTATCTTATTTTAAGAGTAAAAATACTCATTCTATTGTCAAACTATCTCAATTACCTACTCAAATTAAGGGTAAATACACTTAATTTAAGAAATTTGTACTTATTTCTAGATCGTTTTTCTAGTGTTACTATTTCCACTTCAGAGGCAATGATTACATTTTAAAAATTTCAGGCATGAAAAATGATAAATATTAAAAGCTCTGCTGGTGCTTCTGTTTTTTATATCCTGAAAAGGGCTGCTAAATGTTTTAATCTCTTCATTAAAACCAGGATAAATGATGGCTGTAGTGAAAAGAGAGACGCCATATCTTACTCAACATTATCAAGCTTATTTCTAACAGATTTTTCATATTTTTAGAAAATTGTGTTCAACTTTTTTTCTGACTTAAAAAAACAAACAAAAAATGTGTTTATTTTATGACATAATTAAGAGAAAAAGGATAATAAAAGAAAAATTACAAACATTAAATTAACTTTTTTACATAAAGAAAAATATAACTTGTATGTGATCTGTACTTTTTAAATATCCACAGTGCCATTTCAATTTGTAGGTTTTAAAATGGAAAAAAAGAGAATAAATGCTAATATTTTTGTAAAATCACATTTGAAAAAACAAAACATCTTTCCCATTTGTAAGTGATAATTTCTGTTATAATTAGCCATTTTTCTGGGAAATTCAATTAAATTAGTCTGTGGAGAAAGCTTAGATATGGTTTAAAAAAAAAAAAAAAAAGTCATGTCTGATGGGGGGTTTGAGTCTCTTCTGGAAAAACACAGTTAGAAAAGGATGAGATGATGATATAAACAGAATTAACTTCTATCAGGCATCTAAAATGTTGCAGTTATGGAAAATAGGACTTAGACCCTGATGTTTGATAAGGATGCTTGGTATTTTCGTTCAGTCATCGGTGTGCAACAAAATCATGGAACTTCTGGGTCAGAACGAGATCGACCATCACCAGCGGCAGGTGGCCATCCTCAGCCAGGACAGCTTCTACAAGGCTCTGACCCCCGAGCAGAAGGCCAAGGCACTAAAGGGCCAGTTCAACTTTGACCATCCAGGTATCCTGATAGTCTTTACCAAAAAGAAATTCTTTACCCTAAAGAATAGTTTAACCGGTCCTGCTTCTAATTTCCTGCTGCCTTTTTGTGATTTTCTTCTGTCTAGATGCTTTTGACAATGACCTGATAATCGCCACCCTTTGGGACATCAAGGAAGGGAAAACGGTCCATATCCCGGTTTATGACTTTGTCTCCCATTCCAGGTGAGTCAGTTCCAGACCTCACAGAACAATGCCTGTTTTAGTTTATATGGAGGGATTTTTGTCCCATTATTGTTTCAATGAAAGACCATGTTTTGGGAATGGAAATTTGAAAGCAATATCAACCATAAATAAAACTAAATAAAGGTTTTAAGAGTAACTTTGCCGTTTTCTTAGATTTACAAAATCATTTCACGTTTTTAAAATTGCAGATTTAAAATGTTCAAATATCTCTTTATATGATTATTTTCAAATTGCGTTTCTCACATTCTTTACCCAGATCAAACGTTCCTTTCAACCAATGAAAACATTGCTATCGTCGAGCGGACCAATGAACTGGAAAGCATGATTTGATATTAAACCCATTTGTAAAGCTCAATCTGAAAATGGAGAATTTGAAAGAAAGAAATAAAATAAAAAAAAAGTTAAATCTGAGAAAACAGCAATGTTACTCAAAATTAATTTCTGGTTTGCATTCATTTTAGGTTTCAATTCAAAGAAACATGTTTTTTTTTTCTTGCAACAATAAAGGAACCAAATTCACTCCATACCTGAGTTCTGGTGTTACTGCCCCCCTGTGGACAAAACGAGACATGGCAGAAATGTTTCAGAGTTTTATGTTTTCTCTCTTCCCATCAGGAAGAAAGAGACGGTGACGGTTTATCCTGCAGACGTGGTTCTGTTTGAAGGCATCCTGATGTTCTACTCTCAGGAGATCCGAGACCTTTTCCAGATGAAGCTGTTTGTGGATACGGACGCAGACACGCGCCTGTCACGCAGAGGTGGGCTTAAAAAGACGCTGCGCTAAAGCTCTTGGAAAGCAGAGAACTCTCTTCATTTATCCGACCCTCACAGGGTTGGACCACATTTTGCTTTCAGACCTTCCATAAATGATGAATAGATTTATGCTTCATATCAAAATGCTTCATAAAGTACCTGCAGTTTTTTTTCTGCTATGCATCCATTATGCAGCTTTCTATTCCCATGGATGTGTTCAGCTTTTCTAACAGGAGCTTTTCTGAACCGCTCTTTACGTTTCTATCACGTTCAACCAGTCTGCATTTTCTCCTTTGACATCAGGTACGACTTCCCAAGAGATTTCCTTTGCTGAAAGCTTATCTTTAGGGAAAATGTGTTGAAAATTCAACAAGATCAGCAGTTTCTGAAATGCACAGACCAGCTTGCTGGACTTGAACTACGGTTCCATGTTTAAAGTCATTAAATCATCTTTATTGGATATTCTGATGGTTCACTGATTTTTAGCAAGTCATCTTTTCTACGTCTAGATCAATAAATGACAGTTTATCATATTTGTGAGCAAGCAGTTTAACGGGTGTCAAACAAAAATTCAGCTAAAGATGGGATGGGAAAAGCAGCTCTGTCCTGATTCAGAAAGGTCAGGTTATATTATCAACAAATAATTTTGTAATTTTTGGTTAGGATTTACCTTTTTTTTTTTTCTCTTTGCAAGTTTTAAATACATAGACGTACGACGGAGTATTAGGGCCACACATGAAGAGAAAAAATATTTTTGCCATGACGAGATTAAACTCGACATGTCGACTTTAAACTCGCCATTTCGAGAATAAAGTTGATATATCGTGGCGACTTTAATCTCGACATTCCAAAGTTTGGAGAAAAGAGCAACCGCGCTCCACAGCTGCAGTCTGCGTTTTAAGAGTGAAGGTAGTCTTTGACGTGCTGCAACTGTATAGGATTCTGTGCATGTATCCTGTGCAGCGGTTGGCTCTCTTGAACTAATTTAAACTTTATTGTCGACACGTCGAGATTAAACTCAACATGACATTTCAACTTTATTCTCGAAATGGCGAGTTTAAAGTTGACACGTCGAGATTAAACTCAACATGACATTTCAACTTTATTCTCGAAATGGCGAGTTTAAAGTTGACACGTCGAGATTAAACTCAACATGACATTTCAACTTTATTCTCAAAATGTTGAGTTTAATGTCGACATGTCGACTTTAATCTCGTCATGGCAAAAATATTTTTTCTCTTCATGTGTGGCCCTAATACTCCGTCGTATAGACGAATATATTTAGTCAACAAATTTTATTTTAAAATATATCTTATTTTGAAACTTAAAAAAAAATCCTATTTCTTGATCTGAAATAGAATAATTGAAACTATAAACTAGAAAATGAAACTGAAAATAATGGAAAAGAAAAATGTAAAATTTAACTCCATCCATCCATTTTCTGTCATGCTTATCCAAAGCGGGGTTGAGATGGGTGCTGGTGCCTATCTCCAGCTGTCTACGGGCGAGAAGCGCGGTCCATCCTGGACAGGTTGCCAGTCCATCGCAGGACAACACAGAGAATTTAGAGAAGCCAGTTAACCTAACAGTCATGTTTTTGGACTGTGTGAGGAAGCCGGAGTACCCGGAGAGAACCCACGCATGCTCAGGGAGAACATGCAAACTCCATGCAGAAAGAACCTGGCCCAGGAATCAAACCCGGAACCTTCTTGCAATAAGGCAGCAATGCTATCCAGTGTTTCACTGAGCAGCCCATAGATTTAAGACTAAATATCTAAAAATGAAATGAACAAAATAAACTTAACCCTTTAAAGTCTGAACCATGAAATAATTAATAATTCAAAATTAGAATTAAATTAGATTAAAATAAATTAGAAAGAGTTAAATTAGATCATTTATTTGCATCAAATTTGATATATTAGGCAATTCCGTATAATCTTTTATACATTTTCTGTTCACTACATGTGTCTGAATATTAAAGTCAGTTTCAACAACAAAAACATCACACTGATGATACAGAAAGTCTCATGTGTCAAATATGATACACTTGGCTTGAATTATTTTTTTATTAAATTAAAAAAATTGGGAGACAAAATAAAGATGATTAAAACTAAAAATATTATCTTTTTTAGTTATAGATATGTTTTGGAAAAAAGGCCCCAATGTAGTACCATAAATTCAGTGCTAAATAAACCAAACCATCAGCATACTTTTTATATTAATTCATCTAAACTACAAAAACACACACATGTGACTTCACTCATTAATCTGTGGGTTAAATTATGAATGAAAATCAGCATTTCCTGTCATTCAGACATCTGGTCCACAACACTTTAGATACTTATAAGCATACTGGAATTGGTTCTAGGAGGTTTGGAGCAAATACTGCAGTTTTTTAAAATCTTTATTAACAGTGTTTTTCTAGAACTTTCTTGCCCAGATGGTCGGAAGTTATCTAAATGTTTTGAGACAGACTTGTGTTTGAAGGCCACCGTAAGCAGATGCCTTTTTCCTGGTTTTTAATTTCTTGTCCAGAGAGAGACGTGTAGATCAGCAGAGCCTAAACACTGTCTGGTTTAGCATGCAGCCCATGCTCTTTCTAACGTGTGTGTGTGTGTAATAACTAGGTGGTGTTTTAAGAGGATTTTTGGTTCAAATCAGAGTGTCAAATTTGTTATTAAATCATAATACCTGTTCAGTATTTCCTTGTTTCTGCAGAATATTGCATAAATTATAAATATCCT